TCAGCCGAGCACGGTAAAGCGAGCGATGGCTAGCTTCGGTAATTACTTCTTGGGAGCTGCTTTAACCCCGGTCTCCGCGGTGACTTACTGTGTTGACAGCAGCCTCTTTCTTCGTTCACCATCCTTTTCCCTGTGGTGTTCAGTTAACCACAATCACCAGTTGGGCTACGGACGGTTATGGCTTCATAGCAAAGAGAGACGGGAAAGTTTCTAGAGAGAACTGGAACATTTCCACACAGTACGTTACTTACAGAATTGGCAGTGTGTGGTTATATTATGGGATATTGTCATAAAGGATTATAATAACAAGTCAAAGTCATATAAAATGTATTTATTCCTAATATTAAAAATCTGGCTTGTTTTTGTTTCTTTTAAGAAAGAGCAGGAAAGTCAAATGGCTCGTCTTAAAAAGCAGCAGGAAGAACTGGAACAGATGAGACTGCGTTACCTGGCGGCCGAGGAAAAAGACACAGTAAAAACCGACCGGCAAGAGTTGTTGGATATAAGAAATGAATTGAACAGGTATAATAACTGAAAAAGGGTTTCATTTTTCTTAAAAGTGCTAATATGACTGCCTGTTAATTGGTTATTATCCTAGGGAGGGAACAACTTCAGCAGATAAAGCAGATCATTATATAAAATGTAACAGCGTAATGGCTATGTCGCTGAACTCTCATGTAGTTGACTGCAGTTCGAGTCCTGAACCCAGTGGCTTAAACTCACGCTGGGCGCATGTGCATGCTTGTCCAAGATCCCGAGAGGAGAATAGAGGAGAAGGGATTGTGGCATGGCCATCCCCCAGGAGGTGATTTTTCACTTTTTGTCTCTCTTTCTGGCGGGTGCACGTATCCTATAGCAGAAGTCTCCCCCCCACACCCAAAAACTAAAGTACAAGGCTTGTATGATAGAAAACTCTATGCCAGAGACCATTACACTCCAATTTTTTTACTGCGAATATAAATATGTCTATTTAACTCTTGTGTTTTCATTCATGGTATTAATACATTATAATTTATTTTATGTGACTAAGGATTATTACTATTGACTAGACTGAATTTTGAATTCCATAAAGTATAAGAAACTTTATATTAGTATCAGTAATAAAATAGTCTTTCTTAAGACTATTTGTTGGGAACCAGCAGTTAGCGTAATGGCTATGTCACGGGACTCCCACGTAGTTGACCGTGGTTCGCGGCGCGGACCCGGTGGCTTAAAACTCATGCCGGGCGCTTGTGCCTGCGTGCCCAAGATCCCAAGAGGAGAATGGAGGAGAAAGGATTGCAACGTGACCATCCCCCCTGGGGGGTGATTTCTCGCTTTCTGTCTCTATGTCTCTCTCTGTCTGTCTGGCGAGTGCACACATGCCCTATAGCAGGAAAAAAAAAAATACTATTTGTTGAGCTTCCTGGGTGTTGGGAACCGTTTTAAATACCTTATATGCCCATTTCCTTTCTTTCTTTCTTTCTTTTTTTGACCTTCGAAACAACTCTTTGAAGAAGTGTTATCTTCGTTTTATTTTATTTATTTTAAAAGAATTCTTTTATTTAACTTTATTTATGTATTTTAATTTGACCAAAGAGAGAGAGAGAGAGAGAAAGCAAGCCGCCAGGTTCAGGACTCGAACAAGGGTTGGCCATGTGGGAGTCCAGCACTCTTAACCACCACGCCACCTGCCAAGCCATTATCTGCATTTTAGAGATGAGGAAATTAAGGACTAAAGAGACTGGCTTAAATACCTTTTTCATGCAGCCGGTAAATTATGGAGCCAGAGTTCACCTCTGATTCCAGAGACTGTTTTCAATTACGGTGCTGTCCTGGGCCTCTCCAAGTTGTCTTGTTCACTAATCACTGCTTCAGCAGGCTCAGGTCATTAATGATGAGGAAGCAGTGTAAGTGCAAATAAGTGTTTTTGGTGATATGACCTTTTAGCCTAGTTTATTAAGAGACCAGTATACTTTATTTTTATTTATTCATTTATTTATTTAAATTTTTTTAAAATCTTGCTGTAAGGCACATGCGCTGTCCAGATAGAGACAGATGGGGCCGGGTGGGAGAGTGAAAAAGCATCCCCAGCAGGGATGGCTATGCCATAGTCCTTCTCCTTCTTTCTCTTCTTGAATTCTTTTGGAGAGGTTTTTGGAGTTTTTTTTGGTTGTTGTTTTTTTGCTATAGGGCTCATGCGCTCGCCAGAAAGACTGAGAGAAACAGACAGAAAGTGAGAAATCACCCCACAGGGGGCATGGCTACGCTGCAGTCCCTTTTCCTCCATTCTCCTCTCGGGATCTTGGGCATGCACGCACATGTGCCTGGCGTGAGTTTAAGCCACCAGGTCCGGTACTTGAACTGCAGTCGACTACATGGGAGTCCAACGACATAGCCATTACTCTAGCTGCTGGTCCCTCTTCTTGAATTCATCACACTTGCATGTGCACCTGGCATGATTTTTCAGGTCTCTGGGTCTGGGACTTGAACTGCACAATCAGTTGTGTAGGGTCCAGTGCCTTAACCTTCATGCAACCTGCTAGCCCAACTAAAACGTTTTTGTTTGAGCAAAGCATACTGTCATAGTTCAGACTACCACAATGAAATATAGACTGGGGAGTTTTAATAAAACAGAAATTTATTTCTCACATTTCTAGAAGCTGCACGTCAGAAATCAAAGTGCCAGGACCACTTTCTGCAGGGCCACTGTTTTGCTGGGTCCTCACAGGTGGCAAGAACAAGCTCTCTAGTGTCGCTTCCTATGAGTGCGTTAATCCCTTCATGATGGTAGCTCCTGTAAACCCCAAAGGCTCCATCTCCAGATACTGTCCATCAGAAATTAGAGCTTGAACATAAGAATTTGGGGGGATAAAGTCTCCCTTGCCATCTCCCTGCGTGAACCGGAGAAAAGGCAGTCACTGTACCCGAGGAGGGTGTCCAGGCTGAATTAAACCTCCGTAGAGGGAAAGTGAATGGATGACTACAGTTGTGAAAGGTAACTCCGAGTGCCATGCTTGTAGGGCCCAGTGTGTGCTGCTGCTGTTCGCTTTCATTCTGCAAGTGTCTACAGTGTTGTCAATTTAGAAGATGGTAGAAATTGGGGGATTCTAACATGAACTTGCCCTCCAGAACTTTGCTGTCCTATGTAGCGCCTTTTGTGGTTTCTGGTTAGCAGATACACTGGACACAACTTCTGCTGTGGCCATAACTAATGACATGCACGTCAGTCAGGACGTGGGGCGTTAATCTACAGCAGTGTAAAAAGTGCCCGAGTGGGTGATGCACAAAGGAAAGTGGTTGAACTTCCCGGTACCTGGCTTGTCAGTGCGTCATTAGTTCGCCTAGAGGACCTCGTTCCTCCTAGATACCTGTAAGAACTAGGGTAGGGAAACTGGCAGGTGAGTGGCGAAGGGCACTAGACTCCCACATAGCCAACCACGGTTCAAGTCCCACACCTGGTGGCTTGCTTTCTCCCCTCCCTCAAGCACCGTCCCTCTCTGGTCAAATTAAAATAAATAAAGTTAAATAAAATAGTTCTTTTTAAAAGAAAAAGAATTAGGGTAGGGGAAACAACTGCTAAGAAGTGTATTCTTACCCAGCCACACGGATTACACAGTTCCGGTGGAAAGGTTTGGTACCAGTATGGTGATGATCATTCGTTTCCTACCCAAGTCTGAGCTCGGTGCCCTCACTCTAGTTTCATTTCTTAGAACAGAAGGTATCTGTTTGGTATCTTTCTTGGACTGGATACTTAGTTTGCTTTTCAGTTGTGAGGAATTTTAGGCGTTTTATGTTACAGAAAGTGATCTGAACACGCAACTTTGTACTTCGGGCAGTTGTCCATTCACACTTCCAGTGCGCAAGTCCCGGGTTTGCTGGGGCCACACAAACGCCCATAATCCAGGACGGCCGAGGCTGGGGTAGACTGTGGCATGAACACCTTGTTAGGGATGCCTCCCTGGCCCCCTCCCTCTTTATAGAAGAAGTGAATGAAAGTAAATTTCCACAGCCAGTTATGTACAGGAATGTATCTAGTGGCTCAATTGAACACCGAAGTAAAACATATTTCGTATCCAGACTTAGTCTCACTGTCACTTAGTGTCCATACCAAGTGTCACTGCCTCTCAGTTTTCCAGACAGTGTGCTCGGTCACATTCTGCTGGAAACACTGAAACACAGGCCCGGCTGCCATGGCCTGCACGGCTGAACCCATACTCCGAGTGGGGTGGCTGTGGGTTATAGAATAAATACAAAAACAAGGTCCCGACTCTGATGGAGGTAGTCAAGAGCCACTCTCAGGTTTATTCTAAAGGGCAGGAAAGGGGGGAAGGGGAAGTGGAATACAAAGCCAGGTGTTTCCAGATGTTAATTGGCTGAAGAGCGAAGACCTCAGGTGCCATGTAGTTCTCAGTAAGCTTTGTCTTGGCCTTTCCTGATTAGCTTCCTTTAATCACACCGCCCTGCAGTTTCGACACAGGCCGAACACATGTTCTGTATTCATGGCTCTCACTAGCCTTGCTGTGGTGGCCCGGAGAACCATGTCTCTGCACGTGTTGAGAAGTCACCATTGTGGTGTTCAGATCCGGGCTGGTCCCGACACCTCCTAGCACCTGTCCTTTCCATTATCTCTAGAGGAGATCATCATAAGTGTAACTTGAAGGTGACCGTACAGGGGCCAGCAGCTGGCATGGCGGTTAGGGCACTGAACTCCCACATGGCCAAACATGGTTTGAATTAAGACCTGGGGGCGGGCTTTCCCCTTCCTCCCCATCTCTCTGAGGACTATAGCAACATTAAAAAGTAATAGTAAAATAAATAGAAGATATCCATACAAAACTTTAACATGTACATGTTCTTTTGAACTAGACATTTACATTTACATAATTTCCCTTTCTACAAATAGAAATACAGTATCCACAACAGTAGGGACTTTTTTGGGAGCAGCAGATGGCATAATGATTGCGTCACTGGACTCCCACATAGTCAACCATAGTTCAAGTTCCAGACCCCACGGCTTAAAACTCACACTGGGCACGTGTGTGTGCATACCCAAAAATCTCTAGACAGGAGAATGGAGAAGGGATTGCAGAGTGGCCATTCCCCATGGAGAATGATTTCTTGCTTTCTGTCTTTCTGTTTCTTTGGTGAGCACATGCACCCTATAGCAAAAATCTCTCTAAAAGGAAAAAAGAAAAACAGTAGCGAACTTTTCTTCTTGATTTACTGTAGTATCTCCAATACTTGTTCGCACAAACAATTTTTTTTAAAGAGAGATTTTTGCTATAGGGCATGTAAACTTGCCAGACAGAGACAAAAAGCCAGAAATCAAGAAATCAACCCCCAGGGAATGGCCACACCACAGTCCCTTCTCCATTCTCTTCTTAGGTTCTTGGGGGCACGCACACACACGTGCCCGGCATGAGTTTTAAGCCCCCAGGTCTGGGACTTGAACCGCGGGTCAACTACGTGGGAGTCCAGCGACTTAACTATTACTCTGTTTGCTGTTGCACAAATAAATACTTGTTAAATGAAGAGTAGGAAAAAAATTACATTCAAAACAACATCAACAAAGATTTTAATAACTTAAAGATCAAAAATGAAGGATGACAAAAAATTTAGAAAAATATTTTATGTAGGAAAATATTCACATGTAAATAAATGAAAAATATACAACATGGCACAGAGTGTCTTAATTTTTTTAGGAGAAAAATTAAATATCTGGGTCAGCAGGAGGTGTAGTGGTTAAGGTGCTAGACTCCCACATGGCTGACCATAATTCTAGCCCCGGATCCAGAGGCTTGAAACTCATGCCAGGCATGTGGGTGTGCGTGCCCAAAATCCCAAGAGGATAATGGAGGAGACTGGATTGCAGTGTGGCCATCCTTTTGGGGGGGTGATTTCTAACTTTCTCACTCACTGTCTGGTGAGTGCATGCACCCTATAGCAAAAACCTCTCTTAAAAAATATTAGTTATGCTTAATGTGCCATATACATGTGTACTTTTTTTTTAATAGAAAAGAAACACAGATCAATTATCTCTGGGTGTTAAGATTATAGGTGATTTTCATTTTCTTCTTTACACAGCTCCAAAATTTCTAGTTTTCATTTTTTTTTTTAAGGTTCATACATTTTATAATTAGAAAAGCATGCATTATTTTTGGGACCAGAAGAGGGTACTGTGGTTAATATGTTGGATTCCCATATAGTTGACTGTAGTTCTAGTCCCAGACCCTGCAGCTTATAAACCATACCAGATGCGTGTGTGTGTGTGCCCCAAATCCCGAGAGCTGAGTGGAAGAAAAGGGATTGTAACGTGACCATCTCCGCCCCTCCCCCCCCCTTTGTGGGGCAGATTTCTCACTTTTTCTCTCTCTCTGTCTTCAGTGAATGCACATGCCCTATGGCAAAACCCTTAAAAAATTAAACAAAAACCCAAAACTGCTTTTTGTGCAGACTGTCAGTAGCCAAGGAAGACATTCGTTTTTATTTAATTTCTGAAATATTACCAAAACCTTATTTTACCATGGAATCATTTTGTTTTTTAAATAGTGTTTTTACAAACCTCAACAGTTATGTGTTGCCTAATACAGTGACGTGTCCTTGACTTCTCAGGTTAAGGCAGCAAGATCAAAAGCAGCCCCAGGATTCCAGAGAGATCGCAAGTAGGAGCGTGGAGGGCCCGCACAACCGAGCGCTGGAGGAGGGGCTGGAGGACTACCTGACGCGCCTGATAGAAGAGAGGGATACCCTGATGAGAACAGGCGTCTACAGTCACGAGGATCGAATCATAGGTGAACTGGACCGGCAGATCAGAGAGGTTCTGGCCAAAAGCAATGCCAGTAATTAATGACGTTTGGAAAATCTCTGCAGAGACTCCAGGTCTACATTTTAATTTCATTGTAAAACCCTCAAAAGTGGGGAAAAATGGATATTTTTCAAATGCTATTTTCAATTTTTGTAAGGAAAATGGTGTATGTTATTGTACAGTATTTATTTGGTTTTCTTGTACTTTATGCTACCTCCCCCACGCTGGTTGTATTTGTAATTGCATTTTATATACTCATTTTAAATGACTTCTCAGTGTTTCTCAGAGTTTATAATCTGATGGCTAACTTTCCAAGCAGCTTTTTATTAAATTTATAGGAGAAATAGCTGCAGTAATTTCTAGTTCTCATAATTTTTCATATTGAGCCAGAAGAGTATATGTTGCACTTTAATGCCATGCCCTATCCCATTTGAAGGCAGGTATCTTAAAGTTGAGACCAAGTGTAAATGTAGCTGGTTTTATTTAATTCTAAATGACCTCATTTTACATAACCTTTTTTTCTCACCTAACTTGTAGTATTTGCAAGTGACAAGTTTGAAAACAAAGCAAGATCAATGCAGAGAAGTCATATGACACATTGGGTGACAGAGTGGTCATTTAATTAAATAAAGTTAATATAGAATAAACTCGTTTCAAGAGCTGTTCAATTTTCAAATCTTCATTGCACTCTTAACTTTTAAAAACATGAAATAATAGCTAAATACGTTTTTCTCTGTCAGTCTTCTGCTCAATATGGCATTGTTTTCTTTTGTTAAAAATTAGAGGTTTCTTTTTATTTTCCAGTGATAGTGATAATACTTAGCTATTAGCTCAAACCCTCTGTTACAGACCATGAAAACAGACACATACAGGTTTCAGTTTAAAAAGAGGGAAAAATCAACTATTTTTTACTGTCCCTAACTATAGTCACCCTTCCCAAAGTCCATGGAATTAAGGCACCGTATGCGTAGTGCCAAGCTCTGTGCCCGCTGAAAGAGCCCCTCCCCCAGATGCTTCAGGGCCGGCCTTCATCCTCAGAGCAGCACTGGCACCTCCTTTGACAGCGTCCTCAAAGTCTATAGCAAATCCACAGATTAGGTTGCATCTTAAACTATATGTAGTTTAGATTTTTTGATTTCTAAATGTAATAAATTTAGGTATGTACTCTAGAAAGTATATACTATTTAGCAGAATAGGCTGATTGGCAACATGAAATAAATTTAATTTTCAACAAGGTACATTTCTTGTTTGGGAAATTAAAGTCCATATGCACATTGTATGCTGTATTTTTTTTCCTTATTAACAAAGTATTAATCTTCTAAAAACAACCCAGCAGTAAATACAGAGAAAGAAATGACTGAATGACAAGATAATGAATCTGTGAATCATAGCAGGAATTTGAAATACTAATTATGGTTAGATGTTTCCCCTCATTAATTTTTGTGCCACACGAATGGAACAGAAGTATTATTTTTGTTTTGGTAGGCCTCTGGCAAAACACTGACTGCATTTGATTGTGTTGTGTGCTGCCTCTGACGGTTTTCAAACACTAGAGGGGGCCTTAGATTTAAAGAAACCAAAAGGACTTTTCTAACATGGATGCGTAGTTGATTTTGCCTTCTGTAAAGCCATCTTTGACCATTGTACTTTCACAAATAAAGCGCTGTTTGTTAACCACGTCTGATGGTCTTTCAGAGAGAAAGTCTAGTTTCCACGTGTAAGCCTGGCATGTGCTGTACGTCGAAGGCCGGAAGGGATGTACCCCGTCTGCAAGGTGTACTTCAGGCCACGTCCCTGTAAACTGTTAATTCCTTTCCAGCAGGTGGTGTGGAGGTTAAAATGACTGGATCCCACATGGCTGGCTGTGTGGTTGGAGCCCCAGACCAGGTGACCTAAAATCACATCGGGCATGTGCCTGCATTCCCAAAATCCTGAGAGGAGAAGGGAGCAGAAGGGATTGTGGGTGGCCATCCCCCCGGGGGGTGATATCTCACTTCCCCCCTCTCTCTCCGGCAAGTGCATGCACCCTATAGCAAAAACCTTCAAAAAAAAAAGATAACATTTTATCGTAGCTTCTCCGAGCAGTCGCAATGCTGGAAGCGGATGATTGCTACAGGGTGTGTGCCACGCCATTGCGTCTTTATCGAATTGCACCCGTCTGTGTTTTACCGAGGTCGGGGACCACTGAAGCATCCTCAGCTAACCAGACCATAGGTCTGCAAGGGCAGAGAGCATGGCTAATTTCCTGCCACAGTGCCTGTCCTGTGTAGACATAACATTTGCTAAATTCATAGAGAAAAAACTGAAGAAAAGATTGTGTGTCTCTGTCAAAAAAGACATTAAAAATGTTGACGACAGGTACTGGAAAAATAGGCTCCCTTGGCTATACTGACAGCTTTATGAACTTGTGGCCTAACTGTCCAGACCCTACTGAAGTACAGGGATTTGGTTTGGGGGGTTGTTTTTGTTTAATAAAAAAGAAAAAAAAAAGTTGCTTTAATGATCGACAGTCAAGAGACAGTCCCCAGAATGGGCGTGAATATCTGCATATGAAACATCTGACAGGGGATTGATACTCAGACTAGACTAGGACCTCAATTCAGCAGCAAGAACAAATAACCCCCTCTTTAAAAACGAGCAAACGACCGGGATACACAGTTCTCCAAAGAAGACAGAGATGGTGAAGCAGGCTCAGCGTTACTAATCATCAGGGGAATGTAGATCAAAACCATGAGATCTCTTCCCCCCATGCGGACAGCTTCTGTGAAAAACAAAAAGCAACAGAGAACAAATGCAGCGGAGGACGCAGAGAGCAGGGACTCCTACAGTGTTGGAATACAAATGAGTACAGCCATTCTGGAAAACAGTACGGAGCGTCCTCAAGAGACTAAAAGCAAAGCTGCCACGTGACCCACTAGGAAATCCCACTAGGAGGCATAGATGTCAGGGAGGGCACTCAGTACCTCCTAAGGATTCCACACCCAGAGTGCACTGCAGCCCCAGCCCCACCTGCAACCGCCGACACAGCCGCCCCGTGCCCAACGGACGCACAGCTGAACCACGGCATGTGCGCATGTAACGGAAGACGCTGCAGCCATTAGGAGGCCGAATACGGTCGTGTGAAGTTTCGGGGGCAAACGTGGAGGACATTATGTTAAAGTAAGCCAGGTACAGGAGGAAGTGCTGTATGTTCTCCGTATATTGGACAGCTTGACTTTAGGAAGTAGATTTACAATGACTCCTGGATACTGGGAAGGATGGAGGAATGAGGCAAAGAGAAATGTCGAGAAAGGGAAGCAAAATTAAAGGCAGAAGGGACAGTATCTGGTGTTTAAAATACAGCGGGGAGGGACCAGCAGTTGGCGTAATGGCTATGTCACTGAACTCCCCATGTAGTCGACGGCGGTTCGAGTCCCAGACCCAGTGGCTTAAACTCACGCCGGGCACGTGTGTGTGCGTGCCCACGATCCCGAGAGGAGAATGGAGGAGAAGGGATTGTGGTGTGACCATCCCCTCTGGGGGGTGATTTCTCGCTTTCTGTCTCTGTCTCTCTGTCTTTCTGGTAAGTGCACGCACCCTATAGCAAAAACCTCTCCAAAAAAATACAACGGGGAGAATGGGTTAATAACAACCTAAGTATAAAATGTTATAAATATCAAAAGAGTAATTCTCATGTAATCATTACAAGATGTATTAATATACTGAAAAAAAACCACACTGTAACAATTCTTATGTTAATAAAAATATTAATAAAATGTTTGCATTAAATTCATAGAGACAGAGCTTACCAGGGCAAAGAGGGGGATCTGGGGACTTCGCTGATTGAAGGTGCAGAGGTTCTGTTTGGGCCGGATTCTGAGTAGTGGGAACGACTATACCACATCATGAATACACATAAGGCCACTAACTCGCACAGGTAAAAATGGTTAAAATAGGATATTTTTATTTTTATATATTGTACTTATAAGTGTGCTTCCCCCTGCCCCAAAGCTGCCTACCCAGTGTTCTTATGTTCAAAGTTTTCCAAACCGGCGTCTCCGTGCCTGTCAGCCACTCCTGAAGGCGCCGTCTTGTCATCTCTTGGCTGTAGGAACGGATTACAGAAGCCTCGCTACACTTTTGTAGCACTTGAGTTAACAAAGTCTGAAATGTGTAACAGTGGCTGCCTTTCTTCTTTACTCATCATATGGTGTGCACAGGAGACAGAGAAGAGAGGGACAGAAAAGCGAGCCCCTGCACAGGTCTGCCATGCTGCGACTCCCTCCCTCCAGCCCTCCAGCCCTCCAGCCCTGGGGACCTTGGGCGTTCCTGAGCCTCCTGGTCCAGGCTGCCTGGGCCCCGGATTCAGCTCCTCGGGAGCAGTGCGTTACCGCATCGTCACAGAGCTGGCCCAGTGGCTGCTTTTAAAACTGAGCTCTAAAGGTAAATGGGAAGGTCCTTGGAACTCGGGATTCCCACACCTTCACGTTGGATTAAGTTCTTGTTATCCTTACAAAAGAAAAACAAAAATGAAAAGAGCTCTAAATAAAAACACTGGTTTTTAAATTTTGCAGGTAGTCCAGACCATGGGTATTAATTAGAGAATATTTTACAACTAGTTCCATATGTTAGGTTTAATATCGTTTTGTTTTCTTTCCTTTTAAAAATTGCCAAAGGGTACATGCCCTCTACCAGAGTGAGAGAGAGAGAGAGAGAGAGAAAGCAGTATGTGAGCAACACCCCCAACAGAGACCTGAGGCCGCGATCCACCCCCAACTCAGCCTGCCCTGAAAATGAAATGGAGACTAAACTCGTCTTTGATCCTGTGTCTTGCCAATCGTCGCATCCGTGGGGCCTAGATCTCAGCGTTCCCCTTACCTGCACCTGCTCCAGAGCACACCCGTGCACGCCCCAGTCACTGGGCCCTCTCCCTGACCCGGACAGCAATGTAACTCACCCAGCTGGGTGTAAGCGGGAAACACAGGCAGAGCCTGTTTAAGTACCTCACTTCTCCACTGGCACCAAGAAACCGGGCTGTGTCTTGTTATGGAACCTCCGCTTGGCATCCCATTGGAATCCGCTGTTGTCAGGACCGAAACCGGAAAGGCTGCGTTGTACTGAGATCTCACTGTACTTGCGTCTCTGGGGGTGGCTGGTGTTTTCATTAGACATGTTTTTACAGATGTAGGCTCTTCAGATACAAAGTTGCTGAAGTGGAGATTCAGAAGTTTAACTTCCAAATGGAAGGGGGGGTGGAAATCTAGTTCGAAAGATTAATTTATGGCTAATTTGCTGACCCTGCTACGTTAATGTACGATAATCCCTAGAGGGTTTTAAAGACGTAGTCATTATATTCTTAAGGTTTCTAAGAATGTTAAACCTGTCATTCATAGGCGAAGAGAACTAAAATAGAGCTCGTTTATAATTTCTTCTTGGAAACACTTCACCCACAGATTCGTAGATAAATATTTTTTCTTTCCCAAATAACTTATCTAACAGTCGGACAGCACAGACGTTTCTGGGTGAACGTGGTAACTAGTGGAGGCAGGCAGATGCCTGGGACCAGGGCTGCGTTTTCTCCGACCGTTTAAATGAAAACGTGGCCAGAACAAACAACATTACTATAAAATCTCGCTTTGACATTATTGTAAATTTTAGCGAATGTCGACCCAGTAACGTGCGTCGTAGGTGGCAGCTTACACCCAGTTCTCCAGCACGTTCTCGTAGGAGACTTCAAAACGTTCGTGGGGAAAATGGAGCGAATGGTGTAAAGCAATGAAAATGTGTGCATAGTTTTTTCATAATAGGCATTTTCCACAAATACTTTTAAGGCCCTCTCACATGGGTGAGCAGATCGAGCAGGGTTAAACTCATTAAGACACTGGTTTCATTTCTTTTTTTCTTTTTTCGTTTGCTTTAGGGCACGTGCACTCGCCAGAAAGACAGAGAGAGACAGAGAGACAGAAAGCGAGAAATCACCACCCGCCCCCCCCACCCCTGCAGTGGGGATGGCCACGCCGCAATCCCTTCTCTTCCATTCTCTCGGGATCCTGGGCACGCACGCACACGCACCCGGCGTGAGTTTAACCCACTGGGTCCGGGACTCGAACCGCAGTCGACTACATGGGAGTCCAGCGACATAGCCATTACGCTAACGGCTGGCCCCCTGGTTTCATTTCTATGACTTCTATCATCTACCCAGATGAGAAGGATTTAGTTGCTAAAGTGTCCATTTATTTTCTTGGGAAAAATTCTGAATCTCCGGCAAGACTATGATCGACTGCCGCTTGGGTTCACTTCACTTCATACTGTGAGCGAAAGGCAGTGCCCGGAAGGCGATGGTCAGGCCGCGAGTCTGAGGCCTGTGTGCTCAGCGCCTGCGGGAGCTCCCGGTCCAGGTCAGGGGAGACAGCGGGGCAGGCTGCTGCAGTCACCGTGAGGAGAAACCAGTCCCTGATTTAGGTTCACTGTCGGCCAGTGAGATGCACAGTCTGGTCTTGGTTTCTGGCAAGCTTATTTAGGTAACTAACTGACGTGTAAAATTTGCACAAAGAAAATACCGAAGAGTACTAAATAGGACATAGTTGTGTAAACCATTTTCAGAAGTAATTTAGCTCACAGACTTTCTTTGGACCAATAAAAATCACATTCATAAGCCCACATTTAGCCTACTGTCTTTTCCTTTACTGTCAATTCTTCGCTCTTTTTATGTTTAGGTTTTTCCACAGGATGTATGTGCTCACCAGAAAGGAGAAATCACCCCCCAAGAGGGATGGCCACGCTGCAATCCTTTCTTCTCAGTTCTCCTCCTGGGATTTTGGATATGCACATACACATTCCCAGTGTGGGTTTCAAGCCAGCAGGTCTGGGACTTGAACCGCAGTCAGCCGTGTGGGAGTCCAGCGCCTTAACCACTACACCACCTGCTGGCCCTCATTCTCTTTTTTTCTCTCAACTTACTGAGTGTGTAAATATTTACAGGAACAAATAGTACCTAGAATTTATCTTAAAAAGATGATTTAGAAAGTCCAGAGAGAAACGTAGAGAGAGAGGCAGAGGAGGGAGACAAAGAGAGAAAGGGAGGCAGACCAGACCACGAGCAAGCTTGCAGTGTTCCTCTGGCCTCTTTTTTCCTTTTCTTTGTAAGAGCTGTAAAGTCAGATGCTTCCACTGGTTCCATTATTTTTGCCTCGTATTACCTCTTACACCTCGTGTCATCACCCAGTCTCTGAGCACATCTACGAGCCCAGCAGTAAACACACGCAGGAGAAGCAGCCTGGTATGTGCTGGCGTGACGGTGGACTTAACATCGACTCTGTATGTGCCGAAGGCCTTCAATGCTAACATCAGTGTCTATGCACGTTTAGCATAATTCCCAATGGTGTGCCCTTCTACCGGATACAAGACAGTAATCTAGGGGCCAGCAGGTGGCGTAGTGGTTAAGGTGCTGGACTCCCACACGGCTGACTGAGGTTTGAATCCCGGACCCAGAGGCTAGAAACTCACGCCGGGCGTGTGTGCGTGTGAGCCCAAAATCCCAAGAGCAGAGTGGAGGAGAAGCGATTGCAGCACAGCCGCCCTCCCTAGGGAGTGATTTCTCACTTTCTCTTTCTCCGTCTCTCTGGTGAGTACACATGCCCTATAGCAAAACTCTCAAAATTTTTTTAAAAAGTAATTTATTAAACTGGGATCAAATAAACAGAAATGTATCCACTAAACCAATATATACATGTGTTCAGCAACTATATGGAAGTACTTTATTTAGTATATAAAATAGTTATTAATGTCATTCTTCCTGTTATGGTATCTCTATGCCTTTTTTTTTTTTTGAAGAGGTTTTTGCTATAGGGTGCATGCGCTAGCCAGCCAGACAGAGAGAGACAGAGACAGAAAGCGAGAAATCACCCCCCAGAGGGGATGGCCACGCCGCAATCCCTTCTCCTCCCTTCTCATCTTGGGATCTCGGGCACGCATGCACACTCACCCGGCGTGAGTTTGAGCCACCAGGTCCGGGACTTGAACCGCAGTCGACTACGTGGGAGTCCAGCGACATCGCCATTACACTGACTGCTGGTCCCTATGCCCTTTCTGTTATGAGTAAACTGAGTGTCCGTGGCCGCCAATGCCTTCAAACAGGCAAGAGCAGAGGACACTAGAACAGCAGGTCTGCATTCCCTTCTCCTCATCCTTCACACTGATCTCTCTGTCTCTGCAGTGACAGTTTCGATTGCTATGAAGCAAAACAGTTTCCAATCACATTATTATTGAAAGGTGGAATTACGCATGCCAATCATTTACATCAAGAGGCTTTTTCTCAGATTCAGCAAGAGTAGCTGTACACCAAGTGTGGTTCTGGAGTGTCGTCAAACCTGTCTGAAGCAGAGAGCAAGTTATATCATAAACTACGTTAGAGAAGCTCCTAGTCCCGCTGAACCTCAGAGGTAAGCCTATGAGAAGACGAACAAAATCAGTCTTCTTACAGGGCCCGAGCTCCAAGAAAGCTGGTTGGCCAAAGGTGTGTGCGTTGGACAAAGAGGCAGGGCGGGGGTGGGGGTGGATTGGCAAAACCCGTAGGGCCCACCACATGCTGTAGAGTGTGGTAATGGCCATTTTGGGGTACAGTGATGCCATGGTCTGCATGTTTGTGTCACCCCAAATTAGTATATTGAAACCTGATTACCAATATGATGGTTTTAGGAGGTAGAGCCTATGGGGTGATTGGATCATGAAGGAGGTACCCTTATGAATGAGATAAGTGCTCTTATAAAAGAGGGCCCATGGGACCAGCAGTTAGCGTAATGGCTATGTCGCTGGACTCCCATATAGTCGACCACAGTTCGAGTCTCAGACCCAGTGGCTTAAACTCACACCGGGCGCGTGTGCATGCGTGCCCAAGATCCTGAGAGGAGGATGGAGGAGAAGGGGTTGCAGCGTGGCCATCCCCCATAGGGGGTGATTTCTCGCTTTTTATTTCTCTGTCTCTCTCTTTCTGGCGAGCGTACGCACCCTATAGCAAAAACCTCTCCTAAATAAATAAATAAATAAATAAATAAATAAATAAATAAATAAAAGGGCCCTGGTAATAAAAGGGCCTAGAGAGCCAGCTTCTCTCTTCCACTGTGTGAGGACTCAGCCCATCTATGAGCCCAAGAGAGTGAGCCTTCATCAGATACCTAGTCCGCCAGAACCTGCCTTGATCTGAGGACTGTGAGAAATATGGGACTAGCAGGTGGCAGGGTGGTTAAGGCACTGGACACTCCTACATGCCCAGCTGTGGTCTGAGTCCCAGACCTGGTGCCTTGCTTTCTCACTTTCCCTCTCTCTCACTCTCTCTCTGATGAATTAAAATAATAATAATAGGGAACCAGCAGTTAGCGTAATGGCTATGTCGCTGGACTCCCACGTAGTCAACCGCCGTTGGACCCGGTGGCTTAAAACTCACGCCGGGCGCGTGTGCGTGCGTGCCCAAGATCCCGAGAGGAGAATGGAGGAGAAGGGATTGCGGCATGACCATCCCCCCCTGGGGGGTGATTTCTCGCTTTCTGTCTCTATGTCTCTCTCTGTCTGTCTGGCAAGCGCACGCGCCCTACAGTGAAAAATCTCTCCAAAAAAAAAAATAAATAATATAAATAATTCTTTAAGAAAGAAAAAAAAGAAGTGTGAGAAATCAATTGCTAACGTTTATGAGAGTCTCAGCCTCCGGTGTGTTGTAATAACAGCCTGACCAGACAAGTGATACGGCGGCCAAGGGAGAGAAAGCACGTGACAGAATCTAACATCCACTTCTGATTAAAAAAAAAAATTCACGAGCAAACTAAGAGTAGGCGGAAACTTCCTCAACCTGCTAAAGGACATGTAGAAAAAACTTACCACTAACATCACACTTGCTGGTAAAAGAGGTTACTTTCCCCAGATATCAGGACCGGAAGCAAGACTATCTGCTCTTGCTCTCTATTCGGCATTGTACGAGAAGTTCCTAACCCTGAAAGTAAGGTAGGAAAATAAATTAATGGCATCTGGACTAAAGACAGAAATAAAACAATCTTTGTTCACAGAGACACAACTGACTAAGAGACCCAGTGGAACCTACAAAAAGCTACTTGAACTAATCAGTGACGTTAGCAAAGTTGCAGATTATAAGATCAATATGGAAAATATACAAAAACCAGTGGTATTTGTGTAAATTATCACCAAACAGTCAGAATGGTATAAAAATAGTATACACAATACTTAGGAATAAATATGACAAAAATGAAAGACCATGCACTTGACACAGTAAAACATTGCTGGGGGAGATGAAAGAAAAGCCAAAAGTACTAGAGAGACATAACGTATTCATATCTCAAAGAAGTCCATATTGACAGGGTGTTAACTTCTCCCCAGATAGATCTATAGATTCAGTATAATTTCTGTCAAAAGCCTGGCAAGATTTTTTTTTTTCAAAATTGAAAAACTGACCCTATCATTTATATTAAAATGCAAAGCATTTTTAGAGTGGCCAAAACAACTTTCAAAAGGAACAACAGAGCCAGCTCTGTGACACAGTGCAAGACACTGCTCAAGAGAAGCCAGGTTCCACATGGTGACCATAACTCGAATCCCCAGTCTGGTCAGTCCAAAACACACTGGGTATATATGCAAGTGCACATGATCTGATAGACAGAGATGCTGGAGAAGAGGGGGGATCATAGCACGACCACACTCTGTGGAGATGTTCCTGTTCTCTCTCTGTCTCTCTCTCTCTATGTACACACATGCTCTATCATAAATACATAAAAAAGAAAAGAGTTAGAAGACTAACACTACCTGATTTCAAGCTACATGAAGCCATAGTAATCAAGACTCTCTCTCTATGTGTGTGTGTGTATATATATATATATGTGTGTGTGTGTATGTATGTATATATATATGTGTGTGTATACACACATATATATATATACATATATATATACATAGTCAGCTAATTTTTTTTATAAAGATGCAAAAGCAATTCAGTGGAGAAGCTGCTTTTTTGACACATGGTTCTGGAAAAATTGGGTGTGCATAAGTAAAAAACTGTTAGAGTTTGCAAAATGGTTTGTCCTCCAAAGTCTCATGTTTTAGAATTTGGTACTGGGACTTGGTGATACCCAGTGGGTGATGATAGAATCATGACGTTTCTATCGCATCATGGAAGCAATACTCTTATAAATAGATTAATGATGTCTCCCAAGACCCAATGTGCTGTAGCTCTCATGAGAATTAATCACTTTTTTTTAAAAAAAAGAATTATTTAATTTTGTTCATTGTCATTATTTTATTTTATTTTTTTGAAGTTGACAAGAAAGAGAGAGAGAGAGAAGGAAAGTGAGAAAGCAAGCTGCCAGGTCCAGGACTTGAACTGAAGTTAGCCATGTGGGAGTCCAGCCACCTTAACCACCACACCATCTGCCAGTCCCTGAGAACTAACCACTTTTCATAAGAGAGAAAGCTGCTCACAGCTCACTCTCTGCTTGCCCACCATCCTCTGTGCTTCTGCTGGTCATGCTGTAGGCCTATGTCATTGGGCTCTCTGGCCACCAGTATCATGAGTCAACATAAACCTCTATTTTTTTTAAGAGGTTTTTGCTATAGGGCGCGTGCACTCGCCAGACAGACAGAGAGAGACATAGAGACAGAAAGCGAGAAATCACCCCCCAGGGGGGATGGTCACGCCGCAATTCCTTCTCCTCCATTCTCCTCTCAGGATCTTGGGCACACACGCACACGCGCCTGGCGTGAGTTTAAGCCACCGGGTCCGGGACACGAACCACGGTCGACTACATGGGAGTCCAGTGACATAGCCATTGCGCTAACTGCTGGTCCCATGTCTCAGATATTTTTTAACATCACAGAAGCAGACTAATGCAAACTGACCTTTGACCCATATTTTATATACAAAGTTTACTTGAAATAGTTCATAGATCTAAACGTAAAATCTTAAGCTATAAAGCTTCTAGAAGAAAACTCAGGACAGAACTTTTGTGACTTTGGGTTAGACAAGGATTTCTTACACATGACACCAAAGTGCAATCTATAAAAGAACAAATGGATAAATAGACCTTTATCAAAATTAAAGCTCTACTCTTCCAAATGTACTGATTACAGAATGAAAACAAGTCACAACGTGGAAAAAAACATTTGCAAGTCATATCTGATACAGGGTTTAGATCCAGAATAAATGAAGAATTTTTGACGGGGTCAGAATTTTCGATGTGGTGGTTAAGGCTCTAGACTTACACATGGTCAACCACAGTTTGAGTCTTGGACCTGGTGGCTTGATTTCTCACTTTCTCTCTCTCTCTCATGAGCTCACAGGCCCTATAACAAATTATTAATAATAAAAAATGAAATTAACTTCTTAAAAAGAATTTTTAAAAGTCAACATAACAGAGCCACTCATTTTTCGAGAGGAAAGGCATGTAAGTAAATGCTTCACTACAAAATTGCCCTGGCCCAGTCGTGGCAGCACAAGCAGAGACTGCTGCTACACAAAGTCTGAGGCCGTGCAGAGTCCTGCTCAGCTCCCGCCCCAGCTCAAACAGCCCGGTGTGGTGCTGCCCGCCTGTGGTTTCAGCTCACTAGGAGGCTGGCGCAGGAAGGAGCACAATGTGGGAAGACCCTGTCAAACAAACAAAATCTTCTCTTTCTCATTTACAAAAGAGATCTGGTATACAAAAAGTAAAACCAAAAAATATGGGCCAGCAGGTGGCATGGCAGTTAAGGCACTGGACTCCTTTGTGGCAGAACATGGTTCGAATCCTTGACCTGGAGACTTGAAAATCACTCCAAGTGCATGTGTGTGTTTGCCCAAAATCCCAAGAGGGGAATGAAAGAATAGGGATGCAACCTGGCCATCCCCCATGGGGGGTGATTTATCACTTCCCTGTCTGTCTCACTCAGTCTCTGGTGAACAAAAATAAAAAGAGAGAGAGAGAGAAAGAGAAAGAAGGAAAGAAAGGAAGGAAGAAAGAAAGAAGAAAAAAAGAAAGGAAAAGAAAGAAAAAGAAGAAAGAAAAAAGAAAGAGAAAGAAAAAAAGAAAAGAAGGAAAGAGAGAAAGAAAGAAACAGGAAAAGAAAGAAAGAAAAAAGAAAGCAGTACAGGAAAAAAAAGTTCAATGTCATTAATTCTTAGGAAAATGCAAATCAAAACCACAATGTGATACCACCTAACCCCAGTCAGAATGACTAAGAATCAAAAAAACAAACAAACAAAAAATGGTAAGTGCTGGCTAGGCTGTGGTGAAAAGGGAACTCTCCTACACTGTTGGTGGGGATGTAAATTAGTACAGCCACTGTAGAAAACAATAAGGCAGGTTACTACCACATGATTAAGCAATTCCACTCCTGGGTATCTACCCCAAAAATATGAAAATGCTCAGTTGGAAAAGTGCTTGCACATCTATGTTTATTGCAGTATTAT